TAAATTTTGAAATCATTTTCTTGTGTTTAGAGTTCATGGCCTCAAACTCCAAACATAATTCATCATATGCATCTTGTAACTCATCAAAAGAATATGGATCAAATTCATTAGAGTTAGAAGATACCTTGAGTTTTTCAAGAGCCATTAAGCCCACCACCTTTGTTGGTTCTTCTTTCTTGTTTCCATGGATCTCTTCGAGCTTATTCTAAATCTCCTTAGCATTTGAACAATAAGAAACTCCTTCATAGACATCAAGACCAAATGCATAAAATAACACGTTCAGGGCCTTAGCATTTTGTTGAGCTTTCTTCCGTTCTTGGGCACTCCACAAACTTCGTCTTCTTCTTTGTAAAATAGTAGTTATTCTCGATCATCTCCCATTCATAAAGATCATTGGATTGGATGAATAGCTCTAATACCAATTGTTAGGATTTATGAAGCTTTTGATCAACCAAAATATTCTAAGAGATGGGTGAGTTGGCTTTTTAAAGTTTAGGGAGTAAGGAGTATAAATATTTGCACAATGCTTTATAGTGGTTTGACTTATCAAGAAAGTCTACATCTGCTACCTAAGCTCCTCACTTAGGATTTTCCAACAAATCCACTAATTTGTTCTTTCTTTTTCAAGGATCAAGGGTAACCTATAGAACTCCCTAGTTTTTCACTTGGCTAAACTAGAACCAAAACCCCTTTATAAAGGATAAGATATGTAAGAAAGAAAACCCTTACAAGGTAGATGTTTACAAAGTTTAAGCTCACTAAAACACTAATATTTACAAGAGAAAGAAAAATAAGATTGAAGAACTCTTCTCTTGGGTTTGATTGCTTGGATAAGTGTTGTTCAACTTCTTCAAGCGTCTTGGACTTGTTTTTATATATTGGAACGAGTTACTAGCCGTTTGGGAAGTTTTGGAGTTGTTGGAAGACTTTATGCACACAAAGTTTCAAAACTCTAGGAAAGTTTCAAAACTCTTCGAAAGAGCGTTGGAAAAATATGACTGTTGGAACTAAAGTATCGAAACTTTAGGGAAAGTTTCAAAACTCTTGTAGAAGTTTCGAAACTTCTGGTCAAAATACTCATTTTAAGGTTTTGATTGGACTTTGAATTATTTTTTGAAAAATTTGAATAAATTCAACTTAGTCTAACAAATATTTTGCTCTTATTTGTTATATCAAAATATTAGTACTACATTAACCTGTTAAATACTATGTTTAGTACATTATTTCGATAATAACTCTATTATGATCTGGTTTAGGATCGTGTACCATCATAGATCGTAGTGAGACCGGTGCTCATTAGATGTCCCAGACCGACCTGTTTTGTGAGGTGTGTTCCTTATATGTTACATATTTCCTTTTAAATATCTGTATGAATTACCATGTGCATAAGATTTATCATGTGCACATGAATGGTTTACCTGGCTTAGAAATATCACTGTTATATCTAATTTGAAAGCATGATTTTGTTTATTGATTTTCCCGATTTCCTGAGATATGCTTTTAATGATTTGAAATTCTGACTGTCTGATGCATGTTCTCTAGTTATTGTTTACTGTAAAATGTTTGGTCTATGATTTCCTGATTTATCGGTATTATTTGAAATTGTTTTTCTGGGGTATTTCTGGGATGTATTATGAAGTTATGCAAGTTCATCTTTGATCAAGTTGGTAATTCTATATGAACCTAAGGTGACACTTGGGTGGGCTCCTAGGCCCAATGGGCCAAGCGGTAAGACCTTATAGACCCTAAGGTACTCCTTTAAAGTGGCTCATTTTCTTTGTGCATTAGGTAAGTCCTTATGGACCTGGGGGCACTCCCCTCAGGTGGCTCCTACATTTCGGCTAGGGAAAGTCCTTATGGACCCAAGGTGTTCCCTTAGATTGGATTCTACATCCTTTGGGCCTAGGATAAGTCTTATGGATGAAGTTTTGAGGAATTGCACATGGTGTACGGTTGGAGGGTAATTAAATGATTTTACTGAAAATTTTTATTGTGGTTTTCATACTATGAGACTAAACTGATTTAAAGACTTCTTTGTATGTTTTACTTTGCACTTATTGGAACACACTATGCTCCCTAGCTCACTCCCCAATTTTTTTTTCTTTTAAGATATTTTGGATAGCACCACAAACCTGGCACTTGAAGGACCGACACGTTACGTATAATATATTTTGTTGTAATGTTTTAATCTTCTAAACTATTTATCTTTTGGGTGACTTGTGCCTATATTTTGATAAATGATTTTATGACATATTTTTATATTAGCTCTTATGTATGGATTATTTTGTCACTAGTTATTGGTATTTTGTTTAACTTGCGATAAATCATGTTTTTATATTACTCAATTTGGGTTTTATTATTATTATTATTATTATTATTATTATTATTATTATTATTATTATGTTTCTTTTAAAGATGCTATTATTTTAAGTATTGAATTTGATTTGAAAATTTTTATTATAATCCATTAGATTTAATCGTATTGTATAGGCTAATTCTAGAAGGTTACATTACATTTGTTAAAACTCATTCCTCTCCCTATTTGTAATGATAAAAAGTTACTAATTTCTTTGCTTTCACTTGTTGGTATATTTTCGGAAATATTATTTAAAAACCTCTTAGTCTTCGTTGCATTGAATCTTTCAACACTTCATTGATAATTGATTTTTACATATACCTTTTTGCTTATTAGATCCCTTAAAAAATTTGTGTCTTTTGAGTATAGATCCGTAAATCAACTACAATACATGTACAATATTTAGATAAGATACCTGAAAGGTCCACGTGACATATCATGATAAAATTCGAAGTCTAACTATCAAATCTTTTTAATATGATCAACTTACAAATAATCATCATGATTTATGATCACACGACTTACACGTATTACATATAACTATAAATACTCCAATTGAGACTGAAAAAGAAATGAACCGCTCGCGATCACCCCTTATTCCTCGTGATAATCTACTTTATTTTTCATTTAAACACCGATTAAGAATTATTCTTTCATTGGTTTTGACTCTTCGTTCAAATGCATATTTGTGATTAGGGTATTGATTGTGGGGCTTATTAGCTGAAAGGGTGGGAGTGAAGTTGGGGGATGTGGACATTAATGCCAACAAGTGATATGGTATATTAATAGCGGCGCATGAAAAACAATATGTAAATGGAAGCAAGACAAGACACAAATGAAAACCCATTAAAAACAGTCATAAAGCAATCAATGAAAGTGAAGAAAAAGAAAAGGCACTTGGAAAAGGAATGCCTAAAGTAAAGGGGAACAAGAGGAGCATTTTAGATAAACAAGCATAACTGATTCATGTAATTATTTTTTTTTAGAAAAACAATGTTTATTAAATTAATAGTAGCGAGTTTGATATTCGTTAAATGGAAGTTTAAATTTAAATATTTTTTATGAAAATAAAAACATTAAAAGAATATTCTTTAGATAATAAAGTGATACTGAGATATAATTTAAAAACCAAAAATTTATAATGTCATTTTAATAATATAATATGTTTTAGATTTATCATATAGTACAAATCTATAGTGTCTAATTATCAAAATAATTTAAATAAAAATATTAGAATCAAGAATCAATACAGACTCAAATAAGATTTTAAAAGTGATTTCAATGTTTAAAGGTAGTATTATTTTTTAAAAGTCTTAAGTTGAAACAATTGTGTTTATGGGTGTGTATTATTAATAATTAAAAAAATTAAATACATACTATCATATAATCATCTTAGATTATTCAAAAAATATATAGATTAAAATAAAATTATAAACTAAATTAAAAATCTGGAATTCAAATATTTTTAATAAATTTAAAGTAAATTCATAATAATATTTGTTCAAAGATAACTTTTAATAATTTGATAAAAATTTCGTATACTTAAAGAAATTTTATAGTTTAACCACTTGTGTGATTTGGTTATTGCTGAATTTAAGAATTAAAAGTTAGCTTGATGGTACCAATTCAATCACACAGCAAATGATAGCCAAGAAATTAGCATCGTTGATCGAACGGTGGAAAGTATCCCATCAAACAAGAGTACCATGATTAGACGGCTACCTTTAGTGCGCCTATAAATCCGAGTTTCTTAACTGGTTTTTACGTTCCCATTTCTATGGCGATGTGTGTTCGAGAATGCAGAAACTGGGAATTTGAATTGCTGTAACACCCGTTGTACCCAATTGAGCTGAAATAAACATAAAATTAAAAGGTAAGATTATATTTTTATGGGATGAGGTATCACCAGCTTAGTATGATCCACGTACGATAGAATTGCTGTAATTGGTAATAATAATGAGTCAACTATCAGCTTAGTCTTTTAAGAGGGAAATAAAATTTTACTCAAATTTAAAAGATATACTTTTATAATTCGATTCAAAGTTAAAATTTTTTATTTCAAATTAAAAAATTTATTTGATTCGTCATTTGCATAGATTTTAAATAAAATTTATTATAAAATAAAACTCTAACCATTTAAAATATTTAACAATTAATATATTAATTTTTTGTTTCACATAAATTAGTTATGTATGATATGTAGATCATATATGATAAAATATAAGAAATACCTATGATGTATGTAATCATATAAAATTATTTTAACTAAAATCAATTATTACTATTATATTATAAATATTTATAATTAAAATTTTAAGGTTATTTGAAATACGTACTATTCCCATAAATTAACCTTATATTATTTGATTATAAAAAAACCTTATATTATTTGTATTGATTGACTAATATTGCGTGTAAGATAGTGAAACATCATTCTCTCAAGAAGCAGCTGCCTATATGGAGTCCTTGAAAGACAGAAAAGAGAGGGCAAGAACAACCCACTTGATCCCCCCCCCCCTCTCATACACTCTCCCTATAACCTTTGCACTTTGGGATGTCACTAAAACCATTGTTGTTTTGGGAGGTTTCCTTTCACCTTGGTGGAGGTTTTTTTTTTCTTTTATTTATTTATTTTCAATATAGCGTTTTTGGTCTGGCTTTTCTCATTCAAAAGGTGTTCGTTTTTAAAGCATTTATTGGTTGAGAGAGGCTCTCTCTAAGCTCCACAGTTCTTGCTTTGGTAGCTACTTTATTCATCTCTTCCTCTCAGTGTTTTTCTTTGCTAAACTTAAAAGTTTCTGTTGATTTCGTGATGTGGGTCTTTGTTGTTTTGAGCTCTGGTCGAGTGCTGGTTCCATTTTAAGCTATATGCATCAACTCCCCATCTTCGTTTTAACCACATGCACTGTTTAACTTCAAGCTTTACATGTATATTTTCAGTTTGTTGCTGGTTCTTCTTGGTCTTCAAAGTTATCGAGCAAAGGTGATCTAGTTGATGGCGAGCGGTTGTTCAAAGAATGTTGAATCATCATGTCCTCAACTTCTTAATCTGATTCCCCAAGGGAGGGAGTGGCATCATGTGAAGAGAGAAGATGAAAGAAAGGATGGATCTTCAGTGGAGAAGAAGCTGGAACTGAGGCTCGGTCCACCTGGTGAGGACAACTCGGAGGGAGATGATGAGTCTTTACTCTCACTCGGCTACTTCTCTTCTTCTTCAATGGGGTCAGTTTTGTCCACCCCATGGGGCAAAAACCACCACCAACAGCAGACAAAGACTTGTTCGTTTCTCCAGTTCCCATCAACAACTGCCCCACCACATAGCTTGCCTGTTATGGCAAAGGAATCGTCACAGCCCTGCTGCAATAAAGCGGTGGACTTGCAGGATGCTGAGAGAAAAGCATTTAACCTCCCTGCAAATACAGCTGTGCCTCTCAATACTTCTCAGAAAAGGTACTCCAGCTTTTTACACATCTCTTTCTTTCTCTCTCCATCTCTCTCTATCTGTATATCTTTTAATTTATTTTTGCCTTTTGAAATCAATTTTTTTGACAGAGGATATTCACTACAAGTTACATTACTTGATGCTTGTGTGGTCCATCACCCATGCATGCTGTTCTTGTTACCTCTTTGTTTCATTTCCTTTATGTTTCTCATGTTAGACCCTGAAATCTCCATTTAACCTTTCATATGTTACTTTTTTTTGGTCTAATTATGATCATCATGGAAACTAGAACTGCTCCTGGACCAGTTGTGGGTTGGCCTCCAATTCGATCCATAAGGAAAAATCTCGCCACTTCTTCAAAACTAGCTTCTGATGCACCAGGTGTGGACACTCCTAGTGAAAAACCAGCAGCTGAACCTAATGGCAAAGGCCTGTTTGTGAAAATCAACATGGATGGTGTTCCCATAGGAAGGAAAGTGGATCTCAAAGCCTATGATAGCTATGAAAAACTGTCAACTGCTGTGGATGAACTCTTCAGAGGCTTACTTGCTGGTAAAAAATTATTCACTTGGATTAGGTGAAAAAGATGTGATATAATGATAGTAATGTCCCCATTAGCCACTAGGGGAAATATTTTGTTTTCTTCATTGTTTAATATGACACCTACATCACCAGCAACTTATCTGGTTTACCTATCAGTGTTAGTTTTCAACGGTTTAGGTGATGGAAGTGGGACTCATTTGTTTGATCTTATTGCCATTAAGCTCTTAGGCTATAGTAATGTGATCTTAATTGACATCTGTTTGTCGTTTTGTTCGAACCGTGTAGCTCAAAGAGATTCCTCTGCTGGTGAAATAGTGAACAAGGAAGACGGGGAGAAAGCGATTACCGGCGTATTGGACGGAAGCGGAGAATATACACTTGTTTATGAGGATAATGAAGGAGACAGTATTCTTGTTGGGGATGTCCCATGGCAGTAAGTAGCATCTTTTTATCACTGTTGGTGGATTGCAATTTGAGATTATACTATACCATATTATATTCCCAATATTAGTGACTGAGGATATAGTAGAATACCCTTTTTATTTTGTCTTCTAGTTTTTCCTGGAAAAACAGCATTAGATTCCTTATATCTCAACCAAAACCATGCATGCTTTCTTCAATGTTGGCATATTCTTTCTTAACGCACGCATTACCCAAGTACACGACAGGAAACCGGTTTTGTTTTGTTTTGGCTATTTAATACTATTTTGTGTACTATCTTTCTTTTTTTTTGCATTGGATTTGCAGCATGTTTGTGTCCACGGTGAAGAGGCTGCGTGCGTTGAAGAGCTCCGAACTATCCGCGCTTCGCCGTGAGTGCCGGACCGCCGATTTCATTATTATTATAAGAACAATTAACCGTTAGTCATGAAATTGAACACAAGTGTGTGTTGTTTTACAGTTGGGAGCAGTAAGCAAGGGAAGATGAAGACTTGAAACTCTTTGCCACCATAATAGCAAGAGTTTTCCTCGGAAGATTCTCCATTGATGTTGGAAAAGAATGAGAGCTTTGAATTATGCTTTGACAGTTTTTTTCAGCCTATTTTGCAATGTAACTTATTGCACTCGACGGTATATGTAAGTCGTTTTGATGTGTTTTCTCTTAAGCTTAAACGTCAATGGCATTTGGAGCAAATTGCAAATTTCTGTTGAATATTATATGTAAATTGTGTTTTGTACTTTGTATTAAGAAGTAAGAACCCATCTTGGGATGGTCATAAACCCTTAATTGTTTTTCTTATTTTGGAGCTTCATTCAATTGATTCATTTATACAAGGCTATGCTATACCAATAATCACTCCACACTCATTCTGGTCACTGAACTACCCAACTTTAGAGATTGTTCTTTTTGGTCAGTAAACTATTATTTCTCGACGGGAAAATAATAAATATTTAAAATTTTTATTCTGATTTTACAATTAATAACTTTCGTTGGTGATTAAATAGTAAACTAGATAGGCATATTGCAATATAAAATATCATCAATCACATGGAAGAAAAATAAATTAAATGATGTGTGAGCCACATGCATTAAAAAGAATGAGGGTTCGCAATTATTTTGCTGGCGCGGCGTTAGCCACTTTTAAAACCACCAGAAGGGAAACAAAAATGGTGAATGAAAAATTGGCAAGAATTGCAGCCCCAATTTTCAGTCATAACATCCGATATACTTGGAATGAGAAGCAGCAAGAATAGCTGCTCCGATTCCAGAACCATCATTCGACAGCTCCAGTACAACGCTTTCGAACACCTCTTTTCCTAGCAGTTCGTTTAGGCAGTTCACCAAGCATTTACGGTATTCCGTGTAGTGTTCGTATAATCCGCCGTCCATCGCTATTGCCGTCCTTCGTTCCTCCCCTTCCGTGATCGTATCGCATCCCATATTCCGCAGGATACTTAATATTCCGGCAGCCGAAAGACGTGCCCCTCGTGTTGCAACAATGCTGCAAATCTGGACAATTACTCGTCTTATCTTTAGGGAGGTATTTGTTATCTGCAATAAAAAAGATGTAACAAAAGGCTTTAAACACAACACCAAGTTGGCTAATAGTACTTATTCAATAACCAAGTTGGCTAATAGTACTTGTTCAATAACCAAGTTTTGATGATCAAGATTATACCTCGAAAATGTCTTTAATGTGGCTGGCTACCACTTTGAGGTCAGGGGAAGTGTCTTGATGCATGGCAGAAATGGCTGGCGTTCTGCAAGTTAGCAAGGCTCAATTATTATCGGTAAAGAACCGGTGACTGTCCTTAACTATGTTACTCGATCTCTTCATTTTTCGTAAAACGGTGAAATTACCCCAATATGAAAGGCACTTTAAGTTTAGGTGGAACTGTGTCACCAAAAAATGCAGCTTCCTTAGCCATCCAACTTAGGACTCTGCGGACAATTTCTCCCAAATACATACCAGACATTACCTTCTCAAAAATCTGCGGCAAACCGATTGAATATAATGCGATGAAATGATGTTGGAGACTACACAAAAGCGAAACAAACCGTAACGTTGCGAATTTACAAACTTACCTGATCACCAGGATTTAAACTCTCAGCATCCAGTTCAAGATCATACTCTGATAATGGAAGATGTGCTGACTTAAAGTTACCCCACTCCATATTAATAACCTTCAGCGAAATACCGTTAGCGACTCTATTTTTCCAAAGAAACGATGTCGAAGCTATAGAGTGTTCACTAATAGGGATTAAAGAAGAACAGCTAACCATCTCTCCAGATCTTGGTAGTGGACCATGCCATTTTAGTATTGCGTCCGCACGTTCGACATATGCTGCATTTGATCCAGTACCAAGGATCACAGCAGCAACAACATCGTTGTTGGCATATCGACCTCCGGCTAGTGTCCCAACAGCATCATTGACCTTTACCAAAATGGTTGCAGTAAGGCACTTGGGGGAAAAGAAAAACAATAATAAAAAGCAATCGGAACTCAAATTCAAGCATACAAAGGTACATAACATAAGCCTACCATAGCTGAAACACGCATGTCAAGGCCGTGTCTTTCCATGGCTTTGGTCAATTCTTCGACAACGTCTCGGCCGACCTGTTAATTCAGCACTCAATGACAGTAAAGAAACATAAGTCAAGGATAAGATCTGTTGCATTCATCCATCTATGAAGAACACAAAGAACAGCTGCAATTAGGACTGACTGTTTCGTTTATGGAGAAGCCTTTTGTCCACTTAAGAAGTGTGCCAGAAGCAATGGATGTTTGCACCACAGGGAATGAGAAGGTAAAACCAAGCTCTCTCTGCCTACAAGGAGACGGTTTAAAATCCGGGCCTTCTTGAGCTACGAATTTCGCTAGTTTTGCTACGATAAAGTCAAACAACTCCTGAAATCAACAAGATCATCCATCAGACATTGTTATGCCTCGACCAGTTTTTCGGTCGTTTACGATGAGCAGTAGCACTTACATCCGATGAAGACCCTGTCATCAAACTCGTCGGAATCGACACCTCCACGAACTGCTGATTGATGATACCACGACCCTTCCCTCCGAGTACCAGTCGTAACACACGGAAATTAGTTCCACCAAGGTCCAATGCATAAAACAATCCCTTCTCTTTCCTAATGTAGGTAAAGAAAACTACATTACAATCTCAACAAAAGTCGCTATCGGACAGTGGACACAAAACGATCAGTACGATTATCGATATCCAATTCGAACATGTACATGAACTTGATCCTACAATCTACAACACACATATACATAAACAATATATTATATATATTGAATGAACATGGATCATTAATGCATGTTATGTTTTAATAACGTAGGGAAAAAAATACCCAGTAGGCAAACTGTCGACATAGCTGATGAGCATTTTGAGTTTGCTGCCGCCTTCGGAGGCGAGGCCTGCTTGCATCTCGACGATCATGGCATCCGACACTTGTCTCAGCCTCGAAAGCGGCGTCGCGCATTTCTCTTCAAAATCTTTCACCATCTCCATTGCTTTCACCCACTTCCCCGCCTTCTTCATCCTCCGATGAACAACCACGGCCGCCGCCGCTGCCGCCGCTACCCCACATGCCACTGCTATCCCAACTGCAACCTTCCTCATTTTCTAAAAAGAACAGGAAGAAAAGAAAAGATCTTTCAAAATGAAAAATGCGAATTCGGGATTGCTGAATGTAGATTAGAGTTTGGTGCGATGGACGTATAAATCAAATCAAAGAAAAGATCTTGCTTTCCAATGTACGCAACGGTGGGGTTCATTCAGATGATAACATATTGCTTTTAATTTTCAATGATAGAAACATATACAAAAATCAATATCTTGTATTTTGAGAAGGAAACAAATCCTTTATAGAAGGATCTGAAGAAAGAATGAGTTTAGGACTAGTAGATCAAATCATTCGGAAGATCCCAAACTAAAAAAAGCAAATTACCAATGAGGCAATAACGCTGTAAGTTTTTATTTGCTGAAATAAGTTATGGATGCACACGTGTATGTAAAAAAACATGGTAACTTCATCACTTTATAACAACTTAGATTTGGTGGGTCTCACCATATGAGATGATATTTCTTTGGCTAATTTACGGGAACACTATTATATTTATGTGAACTGGTTTCATGTCTGAGTTATCATTGATTACACACAAGATTTCTTTTTTACTGAACCACTATTTAATAGAATTAACGAAAATTCGAAGAATAACGGTGAATAGGAGATGGAGGACTGAAATGGTTATGATAGTAGAGTTGTTTCACTTAAAATATCGATGCACATCATATATCCGGTCTGATAATACTGACGTATAAAATTCTTGCATGTAACTCCATACTGCACCATTAAAGCCGATGGAAATTGTGGAGGTTCGAGCAGTGCTGATGAGGGCGAATCAGAAGGGTTCCCTCTTCCCTGATTAATTGAAACCGAAGGTTCTGAGTTGATGGATATTTTTTTTCTTGACCACTGAATCGTTTGCCTGTAGTCCATCTCAAACTAGATACTCCTTATCATAATTCATAAAGCACAACATTTAATCTATAGAAATTGTCATAGTAGGCCTTCAAATTAGTTGCGAATCAAATATCAATAATCATTCTGCGTACCTTGAATTAAATTGTGTTTGGTTTATCTCGTCTGTCGATTTTGAGCTTTTTATCTAAATCCATAACTGATTTGGGAATATATTACATATTAGCAAACTGACATAACACATACACTCAACAACATAAAAGATAAAACATATAGTTGCATGTCATACGTACGATATAACAAAAAAAAATTAATGGCATGCATGTTGTACATTCATGATTACAATATAACATTCACTAAAATAATAAAAAGATTTTATTTTTTGTGACTAAAGAATTTCTTATTAAAAATAAGTACATAATGTTTTTTATGTTACACTTTTAGATGTCTACCGTTAAAAAATGATAAGTGACACGTGTAACATTTATATATATTTTTTTTATTTTTTAAAATAAAATATTATACATATATATATATTAAAAATTATGAATGTGACACATGTCACTTAACAATGTTTTTAATGTTAGACACCTTAAAGTGTAACGGAAAAGACATTAGACACATATTTTTAACAATTTTATTGTAAGCATCAAAAGTCAATTTTGAGTATAGTTTAGGCTTTTATTTTATATTAACTCTTCGTTTAATAAAGAGTGTCATGTAGGAAGAATTTTTTAACAGCTTAGATAAGTGCCCAAACTATATAGTTTTTCATGAATTTGTGCCTAAACTATTTTTTTAATCATTCAGGTGCCTAACGTTACAAATGTTATCACTTTAGGTGCCTCAATTCTAACGATCATTAAAAAAGCCCATTAAGTGATACGTGTCACAATATGGTAATTTTGAAATTTTATTTTCTTAAAAATGTAAAAATATTTTTATTTTCGAAAAAGTCCCAATTTTTCTAAAATACCAAAAAACCCAAACTCCCTAAATCTCTTATTCTAGTCTCCTTTACTCCAACTGCCGATCATCTCCGGCCACCTATCCTGTAAAGAACGACCAACCATATGTTGTTGACCACCCACTGTGTAACACACTAAACTCATATGGACCTAAAGTGTCACATTAGGCCACTGAGGTAATCCTTGATTTTCAAAACTATTCATTCCATTTAAAAAAATGCTACGTTGTATCACATTAAACATATAATTCAGTTATAAAATATTTAATAAACCGGAGCTCCATTATGCATAGTTTAAATCAAAATAGTACATCTTGAGGTTTACAACTCGAATACATAAATAAGGTTCTATGAATACATGTTCCCATTAAAGCTACAATACAGTACTCTAAAGGTGATGCTGGAAGTCTTGCTGTGACAATGCACCACGAACGGTCCAAGCTAAAAACCTGCAAACGGAAACATCTAAACGCTGAGCTTACAAAGCCTAATAGTGTAATCACTAATCTAGAGTAACATTATGAGTTTCATAAACACAAGCATGCTAAAGACATGGTACTAAGCAGTAAGTATATGCATGATCTTAATCAAGTTCTCCCTACTTAAGGTTCAATTGTTCTATCACTGAAGTATGAGTCTCACGCTTCCCTTAATCCTTTGTTAAAGGCCTCGCCATGAGTACACCTCTATTGGGTCTCTACCCACACTTTCTGTAACTACTTTGCATCATCAAAATACGACATTGACACTCATATACATTATATGTATTCAACACTGACTCTGTTGTGCATTATCTGAATGCAACATTGTTAATATTAAGTCTCACATAGCCATCAGAGACTAGTTAACTAAGGGAACCCGGTGTCACATAGCATCGATAAAATTTCCACTAAGCTTCTAAATGATCTCCTGGTCCTCACATAACCATCAGGTAGATCATGGAGGAGAAACCACATAGCATCGATACAATTCCAGCTCAACTGAAGCATTGACTTGGTCTCACATAGCCTTCAAGCCAAGCTTAAGGATTCTACTACACTGGACTGATGCAAATATACATAGATATCAAAGAGCCCAAAGGCCACACAACATTGACATCCCTAACCCACTCATCGTGAGTGTTCGAGCCTCGTGCCCTAGTTAGCCCCTGAAGTGACTTACGCACTGAACAATGCCTACTAGGGAAATTAAGGTAGTTTGACTGCACTCTAGCATAACTAGACACACTAAAGTAAGGTCACCCTCTCAACTAGCTACTATCTCGCTCGTTCTCTTATCTAGAACATTATTAAGCTGCTCTATCATGGGTGTTCACTACTTAAGGGCATTTAAATCATTCTCTATCTTTAGAAAAGTCTCTACGCATTTCGTGATTTTACGACGATTACTGTGTTTTCTGTTCACTAATTGCGATACCAGCTAGCCTGATACCTGACTTAGGTTTATTACTACGTAATGATACTCGATGCTAAGATAATGCTATAGTCAAGCATAAACTATCTCATTTAAGTAATAATTTGGTAAGTTAAAAATTAAGAGTGTTGAATTCCATATAGAGCAAAATAAATTACAAAAGAGTTTAACTGGAGGAGAATGATATATTTGGTAATTAACAAACATATAACAAAATAAAGAGACCAGGCTAATGAAAGCAAAAGAATGTTGCAGTAAACAATAGAACAATCAGGACGATGAACCTACAATGTTGTTTTACTTAACTGTTGGCAGAATGACTATGGTGTTGCAATATATTTATGAGTAGGTAGCGATTAACACTTAACGTAGTGATTTTAATTCTCATTAAAGCCTTAGATTAAATAGTTAACGAATCATAACACTTAGCATCATATATCTTTATATGAAATTGTTTACTCTCATAAACACCAATGTTGGGACAATAGTAGTATGCAATCTCAATAATCTTTATCTCTAAAAACTACTAAGATAACATACAATTAAGATGCAATTATCTCTAGCAACATTAAAATGCAATTCATAAACATATAGCTTGAAACAAAAAACCACGAGTCATGCAATTCACTGAACATCTTATGTTCGGTACCAAATAATAACAAAAAATTAATCATTCAACTTAGCAAAGTGTATTTCCCTCTCAAGTAAATAATACAAAGATAATGTTGAACTCTAATCAGTTGCCGCTGCTATATGGTTGCTCCACTGCTGCTGGTACACTCCCTGATGATAGAATTAGGCTGCCATCATAGATCGAATGTGGTGGAGAGAAATGTTGGAGATGAATTAATTGATCCTCAAAACATAAGAAGGAATACCCTATTTATAAGTCCAAAAAGGTCAAAGCATCCTCTAATAGGAAAAATTCTGAGTGTTGAATTCCACATGGAGCAAAATAAATTACAAAAGAGTTTAACTGGAGGAGAATGATATATTTGGTAATTAACAAACATATAACAAAATAAAGAGACCAAGATAATGAAAGTAAAAGAATGTTGCAGTAAACAATAGAACAATCAGGTCGATGAACCTACAATGTTGTTTTACTTAACTGTTGGCAGAATGACTATGGTGTAGCAATATATTTATGAGTTAGGTAGCGATTAACACTTAACCTAGTGATTTTAATTCTCATTAAAGCCTTAGATTAAATAGTTAACGAATCATAACACTTAGCATCATATATCTTTATATGAAATTGTTTACTCTCATAAACATCAATGCTGGGAAAATAGTAGTATGCAATCTCAATAATCTTTATCTCTAAAAACTACTAAGATAACATACAATTAAGATGCAATTATCTCTAGCAACATTAAAATGCAATTCATAAACATATAGCTTAAAACAAAAACCACGAGTCATGCAATTCACTGAACATCTTATGTTCGGTACTAAATAATAACAAAAAATTAATCATTCAACTTAGCAAAGTGTATTTCCCTCTCAAGTAAATAACACAAAGATAATGTTGAACTCCAATCAGTTGTTGCTGCTACATGGTTTTTCCACTGCTGCTAGTGCACTCCCTGATGATAGAAATAGGCTGTCATCGTGGATCGAATGTGGTGGAGAGAAATGTTGGAGATGAATTGATTGATCCTCAAAAAATATGAAGGAATACCCTATTTATAAGTCCAAAAAGGTCAAAGCATCCTCCAATAGGAAAAATATAATTTTTTTTGTATTTTCAACCATTTTATAATTATATTGGACAATTGTCCGGATCTAGAAAATTTTATAAATGTCTGCTGAGTCACCAATTACTACATGTTTTGTTTAGTAATTCGGTGCAGCATCACAACACATCATCTCTTACAGCTTCAATTAATGCCACAACATCAATGTACTAATTTTTAGCATAAATTATTAAAATCAAGCCAACTTCCACAAACTTACTCGCATGATGCAAATGATGAAAAATATATAAAAAATGATCCTAACGATGCAAAAGTTTAAGCTCAACCTAGGTATAAAGATCCAAAAAAATAACTCTTTTAGAGAGTTATCAATATTCTATCTGCTCTTACCACGCTTTTTCTCAATTAACCCTCGAATTGGAAGGACAATTGTACGTTCACCATTCGTTAACATTCTTGTAGTATGCAACTCTGCTATTTTCAAATATGATTATTGCGTCATACCGCTTGTTGGTACATCCTCTGTAACAGTTCTTCATTCTTAGGTATTTGCTACATGTTCAATTGAAGATACTAAGATGCATTACACCTATTATGGTTACTCTGGTTACAACCCACTCCTATGAGTGTCTCTATGTCTCTTTGGTCATTTATGTCTTTCCTGGACTAACTTTTACTATTACGGATCATCCATAGCTCTTTCAAGCCTTAATCAAGTCGAATCTGACTATCCAAAGTGAGTAGTATCGATACTCTACTTGCAATATCAATACCCCTATGTGTATCGATACCAAAAATGGCTTATGTTGCTGAAAATTAGGTCCACTGTCGGTATTGTTACCCTGAGTATTGATACTATAGGGAAAGTATCAATAATTTTGCCAGAAGTATTGATACTTCTGGTAAAGTTATGGATACTCATGCTAAAAATCCTCAAATCATCCAATATCGATACTCAAAACCATAAATATCTTATTTAAGCTTGTGAAGCACCCAAAAATCATCCTAATTGTCTTAGTTTGGTTCCTAATCATGTGATAAAACTTTAGGAAGTTATTTAGGGTCTCAAAGAGTCATAAAATACATGTTTTACATCAAATTCGTCATCTATGGCATGAATCAAGTATGAAACCTTAATACTCAAATATTAACAAATCATCATGCTTATGAAAGCCTTAATATTCTAAAAGATTAGAAATACACTACCTTGGTTAAATAATCCTGCAATGAAACTCCTTTAGCAAGTAATCACCATCTACCAAGACTTGAATGAATAAGCCCCCACTTTTCTTGCAAACAAAGAACTCAAGGCTTTGAATAATTAAAATGATGTTGTTGAAGGATTATGAACGAAATTGAAGTATAAAATATTCCCAAGATATTACCTTTGAGCTATGGAACTTGGAGAGGAAAATGGAATGAGGAATATGAAAATGAAAAGAATAAATAAAAAGAATAAGAAGATGAATATATATAGAGCCTTCATCTTTTAAATGGTGAAATTACACATTTGGTCATCCTACACCTTTACACTATTCAAAAATATCCTTTTTATGGCTAATTGGGTTCAATCCAACCCAATTAAGCCCAATGACTTAAATTATGAAATCCACGGGGTCCATGATAACTCTCCAAAAGAGTTATCTTTAGGAGCACTTTTAGCCTAATTTTTGTTTGATCTAAAACATTTTTAGGAGCATTTTAGGATTAGTTTTAATTAGTTCTTATGATTCTTCATATTTATCTTTTGTTGGTTGCTTTGGGCTAAATATGAATTTTAATGTTGAAATTGTGCACTGACGTTGTAGCATTGCAAGAAATATTGTGTAGCATCTGATTGAAACTGTTGATGATGTTATAGTATTTTAATGTTGTGGAGCATCTGATGACTCAGCTGGCAGTTATGGAATTCTCTAGAATGTGACATCTATCCTGTATAGTTGTCAAAAGGGCTATATTCTATCTGAAACATGGTAACAAACCAGTGGAGGACCAGATTTCCTCTTTACCTATAAATAGAGTACTAGCTTGTTCATTTAAAAAACACACACTGAGTACATCACATTTCAAGAAAAAATCCACACCTCTGACATCGTTTTCTTTACCCGATGAAAGCGTAAGCCTTCTGCCAGGGATTGCTATAGTAGAAAGAGAGCTCACCAAGTAGTATCGATCATCAGTATATCACTGTTCGAGCATTTCATTGAGAGAATGGAGTGTTTGAATATACTTAAATTTGTATTGGATGATATTTTGGATTTATGGTTTTATGCTACTATGATTATGTTTCTATGAGCTTGGATGATTATATTATGAGTAGAAATATTTGTAATCAATGAATGGCTATTTTAAATGCTTCTAGAAATAGATTAGTTTAACTTGCCATCTACTTTTGATAGCCTAGTTGATGCTGAGTAGCATTGTGCATACTAAAAAGTAGGCAGCCTAGTATTAGCCTTGTTAAAATGTTGGATCTTTGATTTATAAAAGTGATTAAAGTAATTCAACAGGTTTTAATCATTGCTAATAGTATAAAAATCATATTCATTGTTTATTTGAAACTTGAATCCCTTAATACTTCCAATTTCTATTCGATAGCTGACTTGCCACTCTCTGTAATATTGTAGCATGAATTGAAGTTTTACATTTTGATTTTATTTTCTCACCGTAAAGAAATCAATCAACATTTTTCTATTTTTAAACTCTATTGAAAAACATATGCTCTTTATGGGATCAATACTCGTAACTTAACCGTTACCACTTTTATTACTTGATTTATGACACGTGCACTTGCGTTATTGCTATAGCATTTTACACAACATCAAGTTTTTGGCATTATTGTCGGGGTGCATCAGTTTGATTTAAAGTTTTATTTTATTTTATTTATTTTCTTTTGTAGGTACTTGTTAGTTTTCAGATGTTAGTTTATGTCTAGAAGTGGTGACGAGCTAGAGCTGTTTGATCCAGAGATAGAACATACTTTTCATCAACATCGAAGAGAAGTTGCACTGAATCGAGCAAACATGAATGTTGGGAATAATAACAATGCTTTACCTTCAATGCCACATGGGGAGAATGAAGATTTGCCAGCTATGCAACCAAATCAATATGTTGATAACCTAAATCACTCGATTCGTGAGCATGTGGTACCAACTTTGGACGATTTGCATTCGGGTATTGTGAGGCCAGTGATCAATGATGCAATCTATGCAGTATGGAGAAAGGGTTGCTGAAGATCCTAGAACCCATTTAAGAGCTTTTATGGAGGTTTGTGATTCGTTTATACAACAATGAGTTAAGGAGGAGGCTCTAAACCTAAAACTATTTCTCTACTCGTTGAGAGACAATGCACAAGGTTGGTTGAGTTCATTGCCGCCTAGAGATATAACATCCTGGAATGAATTATCCCAGATATTCTTGTTGTGTTTTAACCTGCAAAACATGAATGCTAAGCTGCGAAACGATCTGACTTCATTCAAAAAAATTGAGGATGAAAGTTTTTATGAGGCTTGAGAGAGATTCAAATAATTGCTGAGGAAATTTCCTATGCATGGATTTCCATGTTGGACTCAAATGGAGATGTTCTACAATGGTTTAAACATACACGCTCGTATGGTTGTCGATGCTTTAACAAATGTAGCTTTTCTAGATAAATCATACAATGAAGCATATGAAATACTAGAAATGATGAAATACTAGAAAGGATTTCAACTAATGATTACCAATATCCAAATATGAGAAATATGTTTGGCCGTCGTAATGCTGCAACAATCGATTCTGAAGCTTTCAGATCTATTGCATCAGAGATCTCAACCTTGACAGAAATGGTAAAGAAACTGCAGCGACAAGGAGGAATACATGAAATCAAAGCTATATATTTCATTACTTGTGTCTATTATGGTGAAGAGCATAACTTTGATGAATGCTCTAAAAATATAGAATTTGTATATTACGTAAGGAATTATCAAAGAAATGACAATGCTTTTGGCAACAAGTATAATGCAAATTTCAGAAGTCGTCCAAATCTCTCTTGGAAAAGTCAAAATGTTGCCAACCCATAACATTTACGACAACAAAAATATCAATAGCATTATCAATATCAGCCTTATAATCAACAACACCTGATGCCATATCAACAATAACAACATCATGTAGCTCAGTCACATGAAAGACATAATTATCAAGGTCAATATTCAACTCAATCTTTTTCTTTTTCATCTCTTGAAGCTTTAATGAAATAATATATGGCTAGTCAATCTGATTCATTAAGATCTTTAGAAAATCAAGTTGGTCATCTAGAAAATACCTTGAGTAATAGACAACAAGGAACTCTTCCCAACGATACTGAAAATTCGAAGAACAATGGGAAAGAACATTGCAAAGCCATCGCCACTAGAAGTGGAATACGGAATGAAGAGCCATTAAGGGAACCTAGAAAAAAGATGAGGCTGCTCCAAAGTATGGTAAAGAAAAAAGTAAAGAAGTTGAGCTTGAGCCACCTACCGGTTTCTCTAAAGCATTAGATACAGACTAGTGTAGTAATTTAAACCACTACCGATAGCGACACCTACTAAGTTTAATGCTTCACCAATTTCAATGTCGCAGCCACAACAACAGAAATTGCCTCCACCTTTTCCACAATGCTTTAAAAAGATAAATGAGGAACAACAGTACAAAGCCTTCATTAATGTACTTCGTCAACTTACCATCAATATTCTGTTTATCAAGACATTAAAGCAAAACCTGCACTGCATCAAATTTATGAAAGAAGTGATATCGAAGAAACAACGACTAGGTGAATTTGAAACTGTTGCTCTGACTGAAGGCTGCAGCGCCATGGCTACAAGTCAATTGCCACTGAAATTTAAAGATCCAGAGAGTTTCACTATTCCTTACGATATTGGTGATACATTTGTAGGAAAAGCTTTATATGATTTAGGTGATAGCATAAATCTAATTTCTTTATCCATTTTAAAGAAATTTGGGAGCGGTGAAGCAAGACTAACTACTGTCACGCTGTAGTTTGCTTATCTCTCCACTATGTAGCCGAGTGACATTGTGGAAAATATGCTTATGCGAATATATAAGTTTATTTTTCCCACTAACTTCATTATTTTCGATTGTGAAGCGAATAAGGAAGTTCCTATCATTCTTGGACGCCCATTCCTTGCTACAGGGTGAACCTTAATCGATGTTGAAAATGGAGAATTAACTATGTGTTTAAATGATAAGCATATTACCTTTAATGTATTAAATAATGTATCTTACTTGAGTAATAATACTCACTATTTTTCACTTGATGTGAATTATATTTTTGCCCAGAAACATATTGACGAATACCACATCAGTGAAGAAGCTATTGATGACGTTGTAGCAATTGAGGAGACTACAAAAAATGAATGTTGCAGTAATTATCTGTAAAAATATGAATCTCTGGCTATACTTGAGTGTGCTCCGAGTGCACCAAAGCCTATGTCGAAGAGCCTTGAAAGCTGGAATTGAAACCGTTTCCAGAGCATTTGGAGTATACCTATCTTGGAGATAATGAGACTCTACCAGCCATTGTTACTGCGCAACTGACAGTAGCACATAATAAACAGTTAATTATTGTACTGCAACAACATAAGAAAGTCATCGCTTGGAGTATTGCTGACATAAAGGGAATTATTCATTTACTTTGTATTTTTGTTAGAAGACCCTGCTAGTATCTCAATTGAACATCGGCTCTGATTGAATACAATCATGAAGGAGTTAGTTCGAAAGAAGATTATTAAATGGTTGGATACTTGAATCATTTACCTAGTTTCGAATAGCCTGTGGGTCAGCCCTGTGTAGTGTGTTCCAAAGAAGGGTGACATTATTGTAGCGACCAACAAGAACCACTACTGGCTAGAGGATATATATAGATTATAGGAAGCTCAATAAAGCTATAAGAAAATTCCACTTCCCATTGTCATTCATAGATCAAATGTTGAACCGCCTTGCTGGTAATTCTTACTACTGTTTCCTGGATGGGTATAGTGGATACAATCAGATTGTTATTCCACCAGAGGATCATGAGAAACAACATCCACATGCCCATAAGAATATTTGCTTTTAGACGGATGTAGTTCAACCTGTGTAATGCTACAATAATATTCCAACGTTGCATGATGGTTATCTTCTCCGATATGATTAAAGACTATTTGGAAGTTTTCATGGACAAATTTTTAGTGTTTGGACAAGATTTTGAGAGTTGTTTGCACAACTTGATTTTGCAAAGGTATGAGGAAACCAAATTAGTTTTGAATTGGGGAAAATGTCATTTCAATGTGACATCTCAGACTCGTATTCGGGTCGGGTACGGGTTGGGGGTGTTACATTTAATGGTATCAAGGCTAAGGTTTAGCCGATTCTCGGTATAAACTGAAGTCCAGAGTGTCATAAAATGTGAACATGCCAACACAGAGTGAACATTTCTGATCTGATAGGGTAAGGAGTATGATGTCTTGCCAATAGAATAATATTTGTATAATATAGTAGAAATTGATTATAGAAATTATTGAAGTGAATCGATAACTGACAAATCTGATGGTGATAGCAATTCACCTGCCCTGGCCAGGCAGGATGAAGAGCGGAAACCTCAGAAAGTGTCTTATAAGATTAAAGGTTGATTTCAGAAGATTGAAATCATATTAGAATAGTGATAGAAGATTTTTATTTCTTTGAATCGAAAAAGCGATATGGATTAGTTTTGTTAGTACGTGGATAAAATAGAATATGGTGAACAAGTGTTACCATAAGAGCGTTAAAAGATCAAATGATGCAGTGAGAATTGCTAAAAGAGTTCAAGAATAAGTGTATTAGTGACAAGTGTATAAGATGTATAAAGTCAGAGCTTATGAGTTTGAAATGAAGGAATAGTATTGTGTATAAGGAAGTGTGTATATAATAAGGATTTGCAGTTAAGATGGTAAAAGTTAGCGTTGGCTAACAAGAATATGTGATGGGAATGTACTGGAAGTATAAGATTATAAGATATTGTCAGGATATGATAACAAAATATGAAATGGATCTGGATACAGTTGTATATTTGGATCATAGTATTGTGGTATAGTAAAGGGAATAAGGATTTGTATATTTGAGTAAAGCTGAGGATTGATAAGAAGAGTTTAGGAATGGGTATATCGATGATCAGTTTATAAGACAAAGTAAGTCAGAACGTTTAGTTGAACAACGGAAATTATAGGATGTATGAGAATGGAGGTGAAACTGACAAGTTAAGTAAACAAATTTTGAGATAATTTCGATTGGAAAGGATGTATGTGATTGGTTGACTAGGGTTTGTTTCCTAGATTGGACAGATGTTATTGATTAACTGTCAAAGTACAGGTGATAGAGTTATAAGATTGGAAGAAAATGTAAAGTTGAGTTAATTAATTATGATGTGAATCTGAATATAGTTGTGTATTCTGATCAGATAGCTATGATGTCGAGAATGAGATAAGTATTTGTATAAAACCTTAAGGAAGGAAAACGCAAGTATAAGAAATGATAAAGAATGAAGTTTTGTATAAGTAAATGGGGTTATCAAAGTTATAAGGATGCAATGAAGATTGATACACAGAGATGAGTATAGGTGATAGGACAAGAGTATGTGAACATGAAAGGAAAAGTATGATTTGTGTATAAGGAATAAATAAAAGAATAATGGAGTAAAGAAATGAAAGGGATTGAGTTAAAGGATCAGATATGATAAAGGTTATATGGAAGCGTAGATGATAATTTTGATATAGAAGTAAGAAAATGTGCAAGGTGGTGTGAAAAGATTGTTTGATTCCGTAAAGTATATGTTTAATTATATTTGAAGAAGATTTAAGGTTGTGTTTTGGTTAAATGATGATGGAAAACGAATTTGGTTATTATTGTAAGGCAGTTAGCGATGAATTTATGATGTTGAGTGATGAAAATGGATGTTAGTGTAATGAATGACATTATATGGATTTTAGAAAGGTCGAAGGAAAATGCAGAATTGAATGAGAGAAAAGACATAAATGGATTGAGGTTATGGGTTACTGTTTATATGATAAGTAACAGTAGATAAATGTATAAAGGAAAAAGGTAGTTGAAGAAATAAAAGAAGGAAAGATTAAGTAAAGGAAGTAACATGAGAACAATAGAAGATATGTTCTTATTGATATGTTCAGTGAAAATTCGAGGACGAATTTTCTTTAAAAGGATGGGAGATTTGTAACATCCTCAATACCGGGTTAGTGATCGAATTGTAAAGTTTTAGAATTTGGTGACTAGAGTAGAATAATGGATTAGTTCAATGATTTATTTGGAAATAAATTATGAAAGTTGTTAGTAATTATTAGATTAAGTAAAGGGAAAAATGGTCATTTGATAAGGAAGATTTTTATTTTTCCCTTATAAGATTATGAAACCACGTGGGAAGAGGGAAAAGAAGTTCCAGAGTTCTCTTCATCTTTCTTCCTTCACGCGTGAAAACCAAGAGTCAAATGTGAGTTTTCTGATTATTGGGTTTTTGGTTAAATTTAAGATTGGTTTTTGATTATTAGATTATAACTAAGCTTAAGGAAAGCTTAAGTTATCTTAAAATCAAAGTATGATGGAGTTAGGAGGGATTAAAGATTTGAGGTTCTTGGAAGAAATCTTGGAATAAAGTTCATAACTTGAATTAGAAGTTAAATTTGATGTGTCATCAATTTAATTAAGAGATATGAAGTAATAAAATGGAATTTGGAACATGATAGAAATTGAGTATGATTCTTGAATTTCATAAGGAAGATAGGATTTTGAGGTTAAAGATGATTTACATGGATATAAGTTGGTTCAAGTAATGGTAGTTGAGTTTAATGAATATGTAAGTTAAGAATAAAAAAGGAGATGAATTTGTAAGTTAAGAATAAGAAAGGAGATGAAATATGAAACATTTGAGCTAAAAAGAAGTAATTTTCGTGGATAAATTAGAATTCTGGACTAGTGTGCATCGGTACACATTTAATATGTACCGATGCATTAAGGGTAAATTTCCAGAAATTGTTCAGTGTGTATCGATGCACAGGAAGTGCATCGATGTACCCTTAAAAATAAAAACATCGAATGCAATTAATGCATCGATGCATAAGGAGTGCATCGATGCACATGTTAAGGGATGCATCAATACACTGTATAATGCATCGATGCACATGTTAAGGGATGCATCGATACACTGTAGAATGAATCGATGCACTTCAAAGGGAAATTGAAATAGACATTTCTTTTGATCTAGGAAATGATAGATTAGAGTATATCCATGGAATACTGATATGTTTCAATGTATAAACATGTAGATATCGAGCATGAACAAGTTACGGGATGACCATCAAGTTAAGATTCGATCGAAAGAAAGGAAATCATAAAAGGGGATTGGTTTTTGTTTATGCCTCACTAAGTCATAGACTTAGCGTGTGATTATTTCACACGTAGGTTACAGAAGCAAGAAGAGAAAAAGAGCAAGAAAGGTCAGGATCTCCCTTTCAAAATTTCAGATCAGAAAATAGATGATTTAAATGTGTTTGGTTATTTTGAATACAGTTGGCATGTACTAATTGATTGAGTTAACTATGCTCTGATCGATTTTGGTTATGGTGGTCAATTTATGTAATTAAACTGCTTTGATTTTATGAAAGCTTTAATTTTTCTTTGAATTTTGTCAAGAGTCAAAGATGTGACATCTCAGACTCGTATTCGGGTCGGGTACGGGTTGGGGGTGTTACAGCATTACCATGGTAGATTTTGCAAATTATTTGGTTAGTGGAATGATGCCACCAAATCTTAATTATCAAGGCTGGAAGAAATTTTTAAAAGATGTGAAGCAATATAATTAGAAAGAGTTGTTTCTATTTAAACAGTGCAATGATCAACTTATGCTACTATGTATTCCCGAGTCTTAGCAACAAAGCATTCTGCAGCATTGCCATAGTGCACCATATGTATGACATTTTGGTGGTATGCGTATAGCAGCAAAGGTACTTCAGTGTGGATATTATTGGTCATCATTGTTCAGTGACGTCAATAACTTTTTAAAACATTGTGATCGTTACCAACAAACATGTAACATATCTCAACGAAATGAAATACCTATGAAACCTATCTTGGAGATTGAACAGGTAACATATCTCGATGAAATGCCTATGAAAAGTTGTTTTGATATTTTTGCACAAGAATATATTCACTCATTTTGGGACACCCCATGCTTTTATCAGTGATAAAGAAGCTCAGTTTATTGGTCATCAAGTTGCTATAGCATTGAACATATATGGTGTGAAGCATAAGATCACTACAACATACCATCCATAATTCAAAGGCCAAGTCGATGTATCTAATCGAGAGATCAAATAAATTCTTGAGAAGGTTGTGAATCCTTCTAGAAAAGATTGGCCACAATGTCTTGAAGAAGCTTTATGGGCCTATAGAACAACATACAAAACTCCACTAGGGATGTCCCCTTATCGTCTTGTCTATGGAAAAACTTTCCATTTACCCATAGAGCTAAGCATAAGGCAATGTGGGCATTAAAGCAACTAAACTTTGATCTTGATGCTGCAGGGCAACAACGAATGTTGAAAATTAATGAATTACAGGAGCTTCGCAACAATGCTTATGAGATCTCATATATTTACAAGAAAAAGAGTAAGAAGTGGAATGATCAACATATTATACCAAGGGAATTCCATGATGGACAACAAGCATTGTTATTCAACTTACGATTGAAATTATTCCCTGGAAAGCTACGATCACGCTGGTCAGGCCCCTTTGAAATTCTTGAAGTATTCTCTCAAGGAGTTATTTTGCTGAAGAACTTAGTGGGTGGAAGCACGTTTAAAGTCAATAGGCAACGCTTAAAGCATTACTCCCAGCCGTACAACCCTCAGATTTCTTCTAAGGTTGAATAATTGAAAGAGTTTTAATCTTTAGTTCTTTGAATATCAAATGAATTACGATTCTCTTAATTCTTCAAGAATTATGGATTTTTGACATATGGCAAGATTATACCTTTCTTATCCTGTCTAAAATTCCAAAATAAAATTTCTCAGATCTTTAGTCGAAATAATTCACGGTCATTACCAAAAGACCAAATTTTGACAATACATTTCCTTAAGACTCTGAACATTGCTTTTATCTTTTTGAGACACAAAAGTCATACACTTACTTTTCTTTGAGCCAATAAAGTCACATCATTGTCTTTTTAGACGCAAACCCGACATTTTTCTACTAATAAAACCTATAGACATTGAGTACAAGATATTCACTTGAACGTGAATCCTCCTATAATAAGACACGACTTGGGGCATCTCACATCAATTTTATGAAGTTGAGCTTGTAAAATTGAGGCATGCTAAGAGTAAGAAGCTGAAAAAAGGAGAATTAATTTGAAATAATTCTATCATGCATTAATTACATTGTTTTCAAGTGAATAAAAATTAATCCTGAAAATCTATCCCCCTAGGGATACCTCTTTTGCAAGGATTTTTGTGTATGAAATGATGAATGACATTATTTCATTATCCCTTCACAAAAGGAGAAAATATATCCCTTGTGTCCCGTTTGAGCCTACATTATGTTTTCTTCTGATTCAACCCTAACCAAGGATCACTCTCCACACTGGGGGCAAGGTGGAGGAGATCTGCTAGCATGAGTGAAGATCATCAATCCAGATAAGATACTGAAAGGTGAACCAAATGCCAAGTGTGAAGATCCAATCAAAACAAAGAGAAAAGGATCAAAGAAAAAATCTAAGAAAAAAAATCTAAGAGAAAGAACAAAAGAAAGAAAAAGAGATGAGAAGTATATGCAAAGATTCCCTCAAGTCAAATGACGCATCAAGCTTCAAACTATGAGATTGGTCAAGCACAATCATTCTAGAATCACTTCACTCGAAGATCATAGAACATCCAGAAAAAATGAACACATATGAGTATATCCAAATTGAGTAAGAGAAGATTGAATGCATCAGAATGAATTGATCATTGGTTCAATTACCCTTAAACACTTGTTTGAGCCTACTTATACCTTTCTTTCATAACCATGAATCATGGCCTACATTACGTGCCTTAAAAGTCCCTTCTAATCATACATAGATTTCTAAACATAAGAGGTTATCTTCAGATTTCATCCCGCATGTCAGGATTAATCTTTTATTTACAAAAAGGTTTTCTAAAATCTTTAATGCATGATAGACAAAAATAACAAAGGGGGTTCAAGAAGTAAATTCTGAATAACGTCTTGAAACCAACTGAGGATTCGAGTTGAAAACCTGAAAAGGTGGCTCGAATATGAAGAATGTACAATTATTGTATAAGAGGTGATCGTATAAATCACTTGATAAGGCATCACACAACCCAAATGTGATCATGAAAGATGTGAGTCAAAGAACACTGTCAATAGAGGAGCTTACGATTTACTCCACCATATTAGTGAACATCAAAGAAATGAGAACACCCAGACCTTTGACCAAAAAATCACAATATTTTATCCCTTCCTTACTTAACCATACCTCAAAGATAGCATTGATCTTGACACTTGTCAAATAACTATAATTTATTAAAGGATTAAAAGTGTAATTAATTCTTTGATATCCAATGAACTCTTGTTTTATGATTTGTGTCAATTGTAAAATCTAGAAAGGGCAATATTTTCAAAATCGTTGATTAAACATTTTTCAACATCATTTTAATTGATATTTTCATACTTTTAAAAATAAAAGAAGAAGCAAAACATTTTTCAAACAAGACAATCCTCTGGAGTGAATCTTGGTAGTTGGCATATGGCTCTCAAACACAAAGCTCATGCTTAGAATCGGTGTTGAAGCAAGAAATGATAAATGACGGGGGTATCTTTGGAGATTCAATATCAAATATTAGGGCATATTTGGGGATTCAACATCCTGATGTGAACGATCAGATCTTCTGAAGGTCTTTCCTCCACCAGCAGGAACAAGTAGACTATCAGTATTCTTTGAGATTGTTTCTCTCGAAACAAAATTTCGTCTCGCTTGTGACAAATTTTCTTAAAAACAAATTTTGTCTCTATCGAGACAGTATTCTCGAAACCAAATTTTATTTCTCTTGAGACAATTTCTCTAAAAAAAATCGTCTCACTTGAGAAATTTTTTCTTTGAGATGCAAATTTAGAGTTTGTTTCACTTGAAACAAAGTTAATGTCACTTGAGATTGTTTTTCTCAAAACAAACTTTGTCTCACTTGAGACAGTTTTTCTTAAGACAAACTTTAAAATTGTTTCTCTTGAAACAAAATTTTGTCTCTTTTGAAACATTTTCTTTTGAAGAAAAATCTTTGAGTTTGTTTCTTTGGAAACAAAATTTTGTCTCTTTTGAGATAGTTTCTTTTGAAGAAAAATCTTTGAGTTTGTTTCTTTGGAAACAAAATTTTGTCTCTCTTGAGACAGTTTCTTTTGAAGGAAAATCTTTGAGTCTGTTTCTTATGAAACAAACATCTTTGAGATCGTTTCTCTTTAAACGAATTTTGTCTCCCTTGAGACAGTTTCTTTTGAAACATCATCTTTGAATCGGTTTCCCTTGAAACCATTATCCCTAAAGATGGCATAACATCCTCATCGCGTAGGAACTGTGTCATCCCCCGACCAGACATCCTCTCACATAGGAGCCATGTCACCCTTAGCTAACTTGCCATCCTCATCACGTAGGAACCGTGTTATCACCCTTAGATAACATGTTATCCTCATCACGTAGGAACTGTGTTATCATTCCTTAGATAACCTATGGTCCTCATCACGTAGGAACCGTGTTATCAACCCTAAAGATGTCTATCGTCCTTATCACGTAGGAACCGTGTCATTCACCGACCATAACTCCTCATCATATAGTAACCGTGTCATCCCTAGATAACCAGTCGTCCTCATTGCGTAGGAACCATGTTATCATAATTCTCTAATGATGGCCAAGCTGTCCTCATCAAGTAGGAACAGTGTCATCCATCGACCAGAACTCCTCATCACGTAGAAGCCGTGTCACCCTTAGACGACCATAACTCTTCATCATGTATGAGCGATATCATCCCCAACAACAAACATATCCAATTTCAAAACCAAAGATAGAACCAGACAAAAACTTGTTGTCCTTTTTGTCTTTGCCTTATTCTTGTTAACACAAGAATGGGCAAAGAGTGGCAGCTGTAGACTCTCATTTTTGTTCGGGTTCTCGTTTTTATTATTATTTTATTATTATTATTATTATTATTATTATTATTAGTATTATTATTATTAATTATTATTTTTACATTTTTCCATGCCAACCCAATTACAAATGAAGCCAAAGCAATCCCGAAGCCCAACATCAACCCAGATGTTGATCCAGTACAAGCAGGACCCAAATTGCTAACTCAACCCAACCGAAGTCCAGGCCTACCCGGATCTGACCCAAGGCCCAGCTCCAGACCCGTTTACAACCTGATTTAAATTAGGGTTTTAAACCCTAAACAGATCAATAGTCATCACCATCGCCGACTCCTTAGCTCCTACCGGTGCGTGAGTTTCATCGCCCCTCTTCCACTGGCGCATGGGCTTCGTCGAACACTCTCGGGACTCCATCGTCATCAAAGTTGGCCGAATAGTAAATCGAATCAAAGAAAAGAAATAAGCAATCAGTCAATCTACCAAATCTAACAAAAACAAATCTGAAAACCCCATTAAACAATACCCTAAAATCTCAATAAATCCAGAAAGTTATCCCCTACCCATAGATGTTATCATTTACCCTTGAATATCACCCTAAAAGAGAGGCAACAACCATTGAGAGGGGAGAGATCATTCGGAGAAAAGAGGAGGAGGAGAAAGTATTCGAACCATAAATAGGAAAAACAAAATATATTCGAAAAGAGAGAAAAAAAATGAGGAGAAGAGTTACCTTTTGGGGTAATATTTGGGGCTTCATAGTAGATGAGGAAATCTCCACCGAAGGTAAAAAAACTTAGATTTTCCTTTTATAATGGAGGTTTAGGTTGCATTGGGGTTGATTTTGGGTTTTGAACTGTCAAAGTGGGGGTTGTTTCAAAGCCTTGGGGTGTCGAGAGGAGGGAACCGAGCCTATTTTTCCTCATCGGAACCTTTGATTCACGGTGGCCGGAGGGGTTGTGTGTTTTCGGTCACGACGGCGGGATGGGTTGTGGGAGAAACTCTCTCCTTTAGGGTTTCTCAAAATTGGCTGATAGAAAGAAATGAATAAGGTTTCATGAAAACCCTTAAAAATAGGTTTATATAGTAGTTTCCATACGGTGTCGTTTTGGGAAAATAGGGAGACTGAATGTTGGGTTTAGAGGGCTAATAGAAACATTAGTCCTCGTAGTTTTGTAATCTCTCCCGTTTTATTTTTTACTTTTTTGAGGGAAAAATTCAATTAAGTCCCTCCACGTTTGTAACCTTTTATTTTAACTATGAATGAACTTTTGTGTTTCTTTAATTTTGATCTTTCCATTTATTTTACATTTAATTATTGCCCTATTTATGTAAATAATATATTTATGTGCATATTTTTAATTTAGTATCCGTATTTTAATCTGTTTATGTTTGGGTATTATATGTTTGTTTTAATGTTTTTAGTCACTTTTTATTTGTTCTTGTGTTATTGGTTAAATTGATGTTGGTGGTATGTTATTTTATCCGTTTTCATTTTAGTCATGTTGTTGCTTTGGGTTTATTACATAATAAGGGATTCTGTTTTAATAATTATATTATATGATATTTGTATATTATACATGACTTGTTATGGTATTATTATTATAGCTCCAAATTTGTTGTTTTTACATATTGATCCCTTATTTTTGTACACATTAATATTATTAATTCCATTTTTTTAGTCACCATGGTTATTTTAATATACGAGAATGTGAAAAATTTTATTGTGAGGGAAATTTACGAA